AGAGTTTTTCTCAGTTGAATTAAAGACAAGGTCCTAAATCTCGACAAAGTTCCTCCGTTGAATTACAGACATGTTCCTAAATCTCAGCAGAGAAGTTTTCTCAGTTGAATTACGGGCAAGTTCTTAAATCTCGATGAAGATGTTTCCCCAAGTCGAATTACTGACAAGTTCTTAAATCTCAACAGAGTTTTTCTCAGTTGAATTACAGATAAGGTCCTAAATCTCGGTAAAGTTCCTCCGTCGAATTACAGACGAGTTCCTAAATCTCCGCAGAGTTTTCTCAGTTGAATTACGGACAAGTTCTTAAATCTCAATGAAGATGTTTCCCTCAGTCGAATTACTGACAAGTTCTTAAATCTCAACAGAGTTTCCTCAGTTGAATTACAGACAAGGTCCTAAATCTCGGCAAAGTTCCTCCGTCGAATTACAGACGAGTTCCTAAATCTCAGCAGAGAAGTTTTCTCAGTTGAATTACGGGCGAGTTCTTAAATCTAGATGAAGATGTTCCCCCCCAGTTGAATTACGGACAAGTTCCTAAATCTCAACGAAGATCAGACTTCCCCAAGAGAATCTTCCACAACAACAAGTATACCAGCTCTCGCTAAGGAATCTCTTATGTGATCGACACTCCTTCATATGGCATCTTTAAGCCTATACCCTCGTCACCAATCTCCAAATGGCATCTGTAAGCCCATTCCCGACATCACAAGGATGATACCACTTCATGCGAGTGCAAATTTCCGGGCACTCTGGTGTTCAATCATCTTCCACCTTCGGATCACGAAAGGCATGAAAGCCAATCTACATCCTCATGTTTAAGAAGATTGAACAGGGGCAGCTGTTGTACCCCAAAATTTTCCCTCCCATATTTCTCAAAACATTGCAAGAAAGATCTCCAAGTTGCTCAAGGTTGCTCAAGAATTGGTCAGACAAGCTCTCTTCTAAGGCAGTCTACCCAAAATTAGGGTTTTGTGTTGCATCAAGATCTTTGAGTCAAAATGAACTCAAGTGCTCCCCAATGTCCTAATATGTTCTCAAGGTCATCCATGTTAAATTTCAAGCCTTGCAGAGGAAGTTTGCTCAGTCAATTGCTCAAAGGTCCAAAAATCGACTGTGTTAGGGCAAAACTCAACTGTGACCTACATACAATCAAACTTCAAGATTTTTTGTCAACATTCTCATTTTGAAGGATATTTCATCATTTGATCAAGGTTTGATCATGATTCATCAAGGGTTGCTCAAAATTCATCAAGACTCAAAAGTTGCTAAATTAGAGTTTTGTAGGAAAAGTCAACTCAACTTTGACCAAGCATAACATTCTCATACTTTATGAGAAATGACCCATACAAAGCTCATTTTGAATAGGATGCAATTTCCTACAATCCATCTTCATATCCCAAGATCAAAAAATGCACTCACAAGAAGTTATGAATTTGGACATTATAGGTCATTTTGAAAAGTCAACAAAAACACCTTTTTTGTCAAAGCTTCTAACTTGGACATGGATTATCAAAATGAGATGATACCAGAAGGGTTGGTTAGAGGACATCTCAAGCTTTCTAAAAAGTCCAAGAACACTTCCAAAAGTTCAAAATTGAAGAATTTATGCATTGTTGAAGTTGGACTTTTTTGCAAAATTGCCAAAAGTCAACTATCCCCAAAACTTCAAATTTTGCCAAATGGGCTCATTCTTTTTCACTTGTTTTGAGTATTCATTGTTGCCCACGTTCTCTAGCCTTGGCCATGTGTCCATATCTCATTTTTATTATTTAATTTGATTTTTATTTGAATTAATTCATTTTAAATCAAATAAAATCACATAAAATCTAAGGCATTGATAACTAATTATTTTATGGTTGTTTTAGGCTCCAATTACAGCTAGCTTTGCAATCAAATTCGTATCAAGGCATTAGAGCACATAAAGATTGGATTCAAGCCAAAATTGGAAGGTTTTAATGGAAGATTAAATCAAATATTCAATCATCAATGTAAAGAGATTTGGACAAAGTTTGTTACCCTAATACAATGCACATTACATAAGCAAGCAAAAGGCATGAGAATAAGGGTTAGAGATCACTTGTGGAGGCAGAACCAAAGTTGCAAAAATCACAAAAAAGTGGGAGATCAAAATCAAAGTTAGAGGCATTTTCAGGACTTGACATTGGTCCCAATCGTTTCCTGGCAACTCTCACAAGCTAAACCAATCACAACCAGGCGTTTTCAAGCATCCATACGCACTGTAAGTCCTTCGTAACATAGCTATGTTCTTGATTTCGTATTTCCATATTCTTTCATCTATAACAAAAACTAATTGCATATTTGTAATCCTCACATCATTTGCAAACTGTTTGTAATAGCAAATTTCATTTATGTGCTCTGTATGGAGAACCACCATTGCTAGGGTTTGGTTCGTGGTTTTAGGGATTTTCGTTTCAGGTACAATTGGTCCACATGAAGGGCATGGTTGTGATCAGGAGGTTGTGACAAATCCAACTGTGATCGGTGGGAATGAGAATTGACTGTTTTGGAATGCTGGTTCGCGTTTGCGTTTGTTTTCGCAAAATGTCGCGGTAAGCAAGAGTCGCCACCGTCTTTTATTTTATCCAACAAGGAAAGGACAAAAGCACAGAAAAATTCCTTTTCGAGATGTTTCTCGGGTTCGGGAGGTAGATTATAGAAAGGGAAGGTGTTAGCACCCTTTCTATCCGTGGTTATCCACGGGCTCTTAGGTACTTGCTCATTGTGTTTTCAAAAGTTTGCTTTTCTTTGTGATTGTGGGTTTTAAAAAGAGTTTTGTTTTTGAAGAGAGTGTAAGTGCGAAAAGTTTTGTTTTGTTTTTAAAAGGAGCAAGTACTTAAGAACATCTACCTACTCAAAAAGGAATTAAATTGTGCAAATATCCTTTAGACAGTGCTATCCCACTATTGAAGAGTAGGTAGCACCGTCGTTGGAATTTTTGGGTCAATTCGATTTAAGGGACGTGTGGTCACTAAAGCAATGTTAGGACGCTTTAGCGGTAACCCTAATGTCTTAGATCATTTTTATCGAGGCAACCCTTTCGAGGCAACTTTGATCTTTGGACAGGAGGGCGACCTCTAAAACATCATATACTCAATGACCACGTTCGAGGCAACCAAGTGAGGTGTACCCTAAGAGTGACATGTGCAAGTGTGTCAATTTTCAGTTATATTATCTTTGCATGTCATGGTGAGCTACTGTTGGTTTTAAGTTAAGAGTTAATCTTGTCATACATAGCCTAGTTAGCATACATCTAAACAGTTAATATATGTACAGGAATTTAAAGTGCGAGAATTGTAAATCCTACACTATTACAAGGCTTCGGGGAGGGGGATTATTTATATTTCCAAAATTGGGGGAATAAAGCAGTAAAGTGTAAAAGTCTTAGTTAAGCTATTACAAACCAGTAGGCAGTTACAATAAAAATAAGCGCGCGCGAAAAAATTGAATCGGAGTGTCCTTGGGTTTTGACCCTTTTTTTATTAAATAAAGCATATTTTTTTGCCATTTTTTGATTTCAGAATTAAGACTAACTAATGATTAATTAATTAAAAAAAGAAAATATTTTTTGAGTTTTATTTTGTTTTGAGAAAATAATCTAAATCTACTTAATTTTAGTTTTTGGAAAAAATGTTAAGATAATTAAAAGATTAATTAACAAAACTAATTTAATAGGAAAAACTAGCCTAATGTTTTTGTGTTTTTGATTTTATGTTGATTAAAAAAGAAATAAAAATAGTCAAAATAAGGATAAAAAAAAGAAGGAAACAGGCAGCAAATAAAAAAAGCATAATTTTGGAGGACTGGGAAGCTTCGATCCAAACAGGGTCATGATTCTTTCGATTGGGCCAGGAAGTGGGCATGAACAGCCTTCGATCCAGGGAAGGGGATTTCCCTTCGATCCTGGGAAAAATGCCTTCTTCGATCCAGGAGGACTATGGGAAGCTTCGATCCAGAGAAGGTGTCTCCTTCGATCTGGGATGCTATACCTGCAAAAGTATGTTAGCAAAATAAAACTCAGGGCCTGGTATCGAACCCCAGGCCCTTCGATCCTGCGTGCGTTGAGTCTTTCCAGGCTAAATCTACAGCAAATGTTAGCAAACGAAGAACATGACCTGGGGCCAAACCCAGGCCCTTGAATTCTGTCTAGGATGGCAAATCGAATGGGATAGAAAATATGGAGGTGTTATGCAAAATGAAAAGTTTTGACAAGCACTAGTGCAGAAATGACTTTTTACATCGGGTAAAATTGACTTTTTACATCGGTTTTGGATCCGATGTAAAGTCAGGTGATATAGTAAATCAGGGACTTTTTACATCGGTTCTGGGACCGATGTAAAAAGTCCCTTTTTTACATCGGTTATAATATCAGAACCGATGTAATAACCTGTTATTATGCACAGTTTTAAAAAAATTGATCCAGTTTTTTACATCGGTTGGAAGTAATACCCGATGTAAAAAGTTCCCAGTAACGCGACTTTTTACATCGGGTATTACTTCCAACCGATGTAAAAAGTCCCTTTTTGAAAGTTTTTACATCAGTTTTACTAATAACCGATGTAAAATGTATGAAATTTTTTTGGAATAGATTATTTATTTCCTGGGTTTCCCTATACAAATATAATTTGTACCCATTTTTTCATATTTTTCCAATATCAAACAGACTATATTTATGTCGCTATATAGATTTCATAGCTTTCCAACATCACATATATCACATTTAGGACGATGTTTTCATATTTTTCACAACAAACTTACAAATTGAACAATTGTATTGCAAACTTGTATTGTATTACAACATACAAACTTACAATTACAAATTCTTCACAAAATATAAAACAATATTCAACTATTTATAAGTCTTTTTCAAAACTTACAATTACATAATATTCACAAAATATACATATACTAAAATATTCAACTATTTCTAAGTTTCCAAACTTGAATTACCAATATAAAATCTTCGGTAGACAACACCAAAATCATATTGCCTGACAATAAATAATAACAATTTACATCAGCAAAAAAATCAAGAAACTCAACACATGAGCAACACATGAGAGATATAACATATTAATAGAGATTGACTTTAATAAAACAATAAAATTTACTTACGTGCACCAAATAATGTGTTGCTTTTTGAGGAGTAGGAGCATTTTCAGACACATCTTTTACTTCCTTCCATATATCCAATGCCAGATTCATAGTCTCTCGAACAACTTTGACCTACAATAATCAAACACAGAACTGGTAAATTTAAAACCCAACTGGTTCATCCCCAGGTGGGGCATCCACAGTAGCCTGAAAAGATCATGGAATTTAAAACATGCTTCAGCAGAAAAAACCACATTGTTCCCGAATAGATCACGTTTTTAGGATGAAAAAACAAGGAATTACCTTGTACCATGTCAGTGCCTGGCCTTTTGGTGCTTCTGAAGTAGATGTCCATTTCGTATTATTCAACCCATCTACCAGGTGTAACCTTTGATGTTCTCCTTGTACTCCAATCTGAGAAAGGAAGAAACACTTGATCAAAGGACGAAGGTCGACAAAAGTCATTGTTCACATCTTATATTACAGTCAATTGTCTCTAAAAGATTGAGAAGGTAATAGGAGATCCAAATTTAAATCAATTTTAAGATGATAATGCAAGAGGAAAAGTACCTTGTAAGTCCACGCATTAGACGACAAGTCTATCGTCTTGTTGTTAAGTCCATTAATCTTTACAGTTGTTACTCCCGCCTCTACGAACTCGTAAAATGGTCCAGTTGTTACTTGAAAAATGTTTTAAACCTTCCTCAAGTGCTTTTAGCCTCACTTTTAGTTTTTCCTGAAGTAAACACCAAATAACATGTTGAAAGTTGATCAAGATGTTTGTTTACATAAAAGACTAATATGTCAGATATATATACCTTATGTTGTGACTCCGCCTTAGCTCTTCTCTCTGATATATCTAGCTTATCTTTCAACCGTTGCATCTCTGCCTACACGCGCAAAGACATAATGGATCAGAGAAATTTCATTTAGGATTTGTTTGGATTGACTTATTTAAACTTATCTATTAACATAAACACTTGTGAGATTGTTGGGAAGAATTTATAGAAATTCATACATACCTGCATAATTCTTTTCTCTTCTTTCCATTGCCTAAGAGGCATGACCTTATGACTTTCATCCTTCCACTCATTAGTCATGACATTTGCAATCCTATTAGCCGAAACTTTTACTCTTGCTAGTTCCCTATCCAGTGTTCTTTTCTCATCCTAAAAATTTATATGCAAAATCAAGTTACCACATAAGATCAACCAAATACACAGTCAATATATCCAACATTAAGTTCAGAAGAATGCTAATTACTTGCAATTCGGAAATCCGTCTTTGGTAATCGCGAACAATGTTAGCCGTTGCGCCCGTAGCAATGAAACTACTATCTATTGGAACATAATCTTCATTCTTTTGATTTGCATGTACCCTTCTAAGTGTTGCTTCTGCTGCATATTGTGCAGCCAATGCTTCTTTCTTTTCATCTCTCAGTTTCTTAATTTCTAGATTCTGCATAGCAATAAAATTTGAAAATAAAAACAAAAAGCATTTTAGGTTCTACCAACGTTGAATATAGCTTCTACTTCAAAGAAATAGTTAATATACCAAAATCAATGCACCTTTTGCTTAAGATGATCTTCTGTAACTCTAAATCTCTCATCAAGTTTACTAGCTTCATTTCTCAACTGGAATTGGCGAAAGAGGATTATAGCCGATATTAGTACCTCTATCGGATACTATGATTTTAAAGTGTAGTTCCAGTTGCGTACCAAAATATAGAACAATATTGAATAGTAAAAAAATCCATATTTTCTAAAGTACCTGTTCCATGGCCTTATCCTTGAGTGATTCAGTTGCCTTGAATACTTTGATTTCATTCTGGCAAGTTATTAGCTCCTTAACTTTTTCTGTAACAATGATTACACTAAGTCAATGAATGAAAACAAAAGCATGTTAATATGACAGCATATATCTACTTTGAAAATAGTACCCTTTATGTATATTACATTATACAAATGAGCCTTTCAAGAAAGAAGGAAGGGAATATTATCAAATATTTATGGAGAGATGTTTGTGAATGAATCTAATTTTAATTCTAAGTTCTTCATAACAATCATACAGATATATGAACATAGTGAAATAGAAAAAGTTCCCATATTTCCACCAAAAGAAAACAAAAGCCAGAAAAAGTCTCAAACTAAAGCATTTTAAAATTATTAAAATCAACACAATCAAGTTCCAATATTATTGTGTTCTTAACCATTTTCTATCCTGAGACAAACCTTGTTGTATGCCACAGGTAATCAGTGGTATCTTTGTGAAACCATTTTCAGAATCACAAACACAGTGTGAAAATGGTTTTCTATCCTGAGACAAACCATTTTCAGAATCAATTCCCTTCAATTTTTTTACCCCATAATCAAACACAGTGTAAATTACCTTATCAAACCGTTTATTCTGCAACGAATCCATACACAGAACTTTATGCTGCGATGCCAAATCTTTCTCCATTGAAGCTACTTTCCCCAACGCTTCCGCACAGGCTTTTCTCACATTCCAATCCTCACTGCCGAGAAACTCAACAACGCACAGAACCAACCAACTCATTACTCCACGACTCGAAGCACCACCAACGGAAACCACACTCCCGATTAGCACCAACAACGGCGCCTTCGCCTTACACGAGTCAGTCTTCAGAAGCTTCCCTAGCCTCGGAAGCGTAATCCTCCGGAGCGACTCAACGTCCGGCACCGGCGCTGCATCAATAGCCGCCGGAAGGCACAGCGAAGCGCCGATCTGCACATTCACGTCCTGCTCCAGCGTTAACGCGTCCATAAACGGCCTCAGGAACGCAACGGTGAACGAAGGACGAGTGATGCGCGACGACATCTCAGCAACAGCGTCGACGCAAGCGGATCGTACAACCGAGTCGGGATCCCTCAACCGACGGAGAACAGTAGCAATCATCTTTGAGATAAAAGGAGACATCGCGTCACCATGGAAACGCGATAGAAGGCTCAAAAGGTTAACACATTGTTTCCGAACCGGAGATTTAGAAGACGAATCGGTGTTATGAATGCATGAGAGAAAAGATGAGAATGAGTCATTATTTAGGGTTCTAGCGATGGATTCCCACCGATTTAATAGGTTGTTTTTTTTTTAAATACTTCTCAGGCTATTACATCGGTGGAAACTTCCACCGATTTAATAGGTTGTTTTTTTTTTAAATACTTGTTAGGCTATTACATCGGTGGAAACTCCAACCGATGTAATAGGTTGCTTTTTTTTTTTTTAAATACGTGTTGGGCTATTACATCGGTGGAGAGTCCGAACCGATGTAATAGCTTACCTTTTTTTTTTTTAACCCACGTTTTTATGATTTATCAATATATTTTATATATTAATTCAAGCACATTTTTTACATCGGTTTTTATTTAAACCGATGTAATATATTGTGTGATCGGTGGATCTGGAACTGACTGTTTTAAAGCTGGTTCGCGAAGTGTCGCGGAAGCAAGAGTCGCCACCGTCTTTTATTTTCTCCAATATGGAAAGGACAAAAGCACAGAAAAATTCCTTATAGAGATTGCTCTCGGTTCGGGAGGTAGGTTATAGAAAGGGAAGGTGTTAGCACCCTTTCTATCCATGGTTATCCATGGGCTCTTAGATACTTGCTCATTGTGTTTTCAAAATGGTTTTGTTTGCTTTTCAATGTGGGTTTTAAAAAAGTTTCTTTGAAAAATTTCAGTTCGACTCGTGCGTCAGAGTGTTTGAAAAATTTGCTTTGAAAGCTTTTGAAAAGTGTCGGTGTGAAAAGATTTTTGTTTGTTTTGTTTTTGAAGAGACCAAGTATCTACGAGAACCTACCTACCCTAAGGAATTCGTCTGTGTAAATGTCCTTTGAAGTAGTGCCATCCCACCATTGAGAGGTAGGTAGCACCACCGTTGGAGGTGTTCGGGTCAATTCGAGTTTAGGGACATGGTGATCACCAGAGCAATGGGAAGACACCTTAGAAGCTACCCTCATGCCAGGTTCCCGGATCATGAGGACTTACTAAGACGTCCTCTACTCGACGATCACCTTTCGAGGCAAGGCAACAATGAGGCGTACCCTAGGGGTGGTGTGTGCGATTCGTGTGTCGTTTTCATTGATATTTGTCTTGTCATGTTTGTTGGTGTTCTACGCTTGATTTTATTTAAGTCAGACATTCTTTCATGCTTATTTAACAGTTAAAATATTTGCGGGAAAATAAATCTAAACTATTACAAATGGCGCGGGTCCACACCGCCAAAATTAAACCGGACCCGATTTGACAGATAAGTAAATAAAGCAAAGTAAATAAAAGTGCGAAATGTTTAAGTTACACGGCTTTGGGAGAGGTACATAATTATTCAAGCGAAATAAAATAAATATGCGAAATTAAATAGTTAAGAGTACGGGCGTTGGACCCTTTTGCAAAATATTAAAGTTAACGAGGAATTAAAATTAAAAATAAAAATAAAAATGTTTTTTGGTATTTTTGTGTTTTTATGATTTAATAGAAAAAGAATCAATTTCAATTAAAATAAAAAGCTAAACCTAATTCTAATTGTTTTTTTTAAATTTATTATGAAAGTATTAAAATTTAACCTAAATTAAACCTAAGTTTTTTATATACAATTTAATTATAAAAATAAATAAATCAATAATATTATGGCAAAAAGGAAATTAAAAGGAATAAAAAGTTATTAATCCTAATTCTATATTTTTGGATTTTTTATGAAAAAAAGAATTAATATTGTAAACCCTAATTTAAATTGAACTCATTTACATGCTAATTTATTTATAAGGAAATAATTAAAATAAAAATTATTTATCACATTTTTGTCTTTTCTGATTTTTTTATGATGTTTTTTTTTTATATTTTGTAAAAATAATAATTAATTTAGACAAATAAAGAAAATAAAATAACAATAAAAAATAAAATAAGAAAAATATAGAGAAAGCAAACCAGGGGGGGTTCAGGCCCCAATTGGAGGTATAGGCCTAGCAATCTGGCCCAATAGCATTGGCCTCATTGGACTTTTTTTGAATCTCGTGGGATGCATTGACTAGGGTGTAACGTGTTCTTTGAATCCACGCCCTCGATCTGATCTCACAGGACGCGTGTATGGATAGATGGTGAGGGAATAGGATGCGTCTGCAACTTTGAAGCACATGGGAATTGCTTTTGAAAAATAATATGGAAACTTGTAAGACCTGGGGCTCGAACCCAGGTCATGTACCATTCCAAACAACGCGCTTGCCACTGAACCATCGCTTGTACGTTTAACATATAACAACATTCAAATATAATAAATAAAACATGATGTTAATGGGTTAAAGCGCGCGAGATTTAAATTAGCCAATCGTTGGCAGCCACGCAATTGTCTTCCTCGCTATGTTTATTTTCCTGAAAAAACAACTATATTAGGCAACGGTTTCAGACACGTTCCCTTAGGTGGCCTTTGGAAAAATGGCGAATAGATCTCAGGGCTCCATAAATTGATCGCGAGTAGTGTTTCCCGTTCGTCCAGATGCGTCAAATTCAATGGTGTTGGTCTGGAGTCCTGATTTTACTTCGTTTTGAAAGCCCCAAATCCAACCTCTGAAAACCCTAGATTTCAAGCATGGTACAATCGCGTATGTAGCATAAAAACTCAATTAAACATATCAGTTAGCTTTGAAATCACATCAGGAACAAGAATATACAATTAAAATGCAATGAGGATGCCTAGAATTGAAAATACGATCGTCACTTTTTTGCTGTACAGGGAAGGTTCTATATACCAATTCCTGGAGTTTGAGTTGATGTTTTGGATTGCAATGTGATCAGAGAGACTTGAGGAAGCCAATGGAATGAATATTAGGGCTTGAATCCACCTCCAGCAATGATTTCAGAATTGAGTTTTTAAGTGAAAATTCCAAGTTTGTAGAGAGCTTTTCTGTGCAGCTTTTCGTCTCCTAGCATTAGGTTTGTGTTTCTGATTATGTAGTGAAGGCATTAGGTTAAGAAAATTGAATAAAATCCATGGCATTGATGATTTTGCATATTTGATTTTCCAAGATCTTTTCATATCTTTTCCACATGGTTTTTGTATCAATTATGATCAATTAGCTCCAAATCTTTCCTAGTTTGCCTTTACACGAAATATTGACCTTAAAACATGTATAAAAAGATTGGTTTTATTAGGTTAAATATTTTTCACATATTTTAAATGATTTAAGTGAATTAATATGAATAAAAATTCAAATAAATAATTAAAAAATGAGAAAATACTTCCCTTTGGGCCAAGTGGTCGTGCATATGCTTGGAATGATGAATCATGGAAGAAAAATGGGCCCATTTGCAATTTTAGGTCATTTGGATCAAAGTTGATTTTTCAAAATATCCAAAAATTTCCCAACTTCCACAAGGCATAACTTGCTCAATGTTTAAGCTTTTCTCATGTTCTTGGACATTTTGGAAAGGCCTTTGAGTCCTCTAACCAATGCCTTTGGTCCCATGTCATTTTGATTTACCAATCTCAAGTTATGGCCTTTGACTTAAAGTCTCTTTTTGTTGACTTTTGAAAATGACCTATAATGTTGAAATTGATAACTTTTTGTGAGAGCATTTCTTGGACTTGAAGTATGAAGATGAGTTGTAGGAAATGTCTTTCTCTTCAAAATGAGCTTTGGATGGAATTTTTCTGATAATCCATGTGAAATTTATGCCCTGGTCAATTTCAGTTGACTTTTTCAACTGTCCAAATATAGTAACTTTTGCATCTTGATGATTTTCTGAGCCAAATTTTGAGAATCATGATCAAGCATTGATCAAATGATGTTTGTGGCTTCAAAATGATATGTTGACCAAAAATTTGAACTTTTGACTGTCAAATGACCATTTTGCCCCTACAGTTGACTGTAGTGCAATTTAGGGTTTTGACTGTGAAATTTTGAGCTGAATGCCTTGAAACTTGATATGAGGATACTTGACCATCTTTATAGGCATATGAGACTTAATTGGGCCTTTGAAAACTTCCTTTTCTTGATCAGAACACAAACCCTAGTTTTGACTGTATAGGAGGCCTTTGCACTGTGCAACCCTTGGGGAATTTTGTAGCTTGGCTTGGCAATTTCCTGAAGAATGTGGGAGGGCAAATTTTGGGGTGCAACAGTTGCCCCTGTTCAATCTTCTTAGACCTGAGGATGCAGATTGGCTGACGTGCCTTTCGTAATCCGAGGGTAGAAGATGATTGGACACTAGAGTGCCCAGAAATTTGCGCTCACATAGTAGCAGTGATGGTGGAAATGGGCTTATAGATGCCATTTGGAGATTGCTGGGTAGGATGATGGGCTTATAGATGCCATCTGGATGTTGATTGCGTAGGAGATTCCTTAGCGAGAACCTGCATACCTGCAAAACAGAAAATGAGTACCTGACACGTTGCAGGAGTTGGTTTTCAGATGCTTGGTCTAGATATGTCCTGACTGGTTACAGGAGCTGAATCTGGAGCTTCAAACGCTGATGAATGAACCAGGTATGGTTACTGCCTTAACATGGATGGTAAGAGAACCTTGGGCGACTTTAACCTCAACAACGCTCGTTGAGAAAATCTTGGTGGGAATTACCATCTTTGCAGTATCGGGAAGAGAACCATATGCACTTATAATCTGAAAGGAATGATCACCTCACTCAATGTCGGAGAGGGAAACATCTGAAAAGGACTTACCGCCTCACACACCGTCGGAGAGGGAACCATAAGAGACTATCACCTCACACTCACCGTCGGAGAGGGAAACATCTGAAGAAGGAATTACCACCTCACGCACTTGCCGGAGAGGGGAACATCTGAAAAGGAATTATCACCTCACACACCGTCGGAGAGGGAACCATAAGAGACTATCACCTCACACTCATCGTCGGAGAGGGAAACATCTGAAAAGGACTTATCACCTCACTCACTGTCGGAGAGGGAACCAT